GGGGGGGGGGGGTCCTCCCCATGGACTGAGCTGGTCTCTTACGATGCCATCTTGTGCCGTGAGTCATAGCAACTTTGGCGACATTTAAGGTCAACCCATCACATGGGCAGCAGTGGCTGTGCTGGGAGCTCTTGCGAAACCCTCCAGTAGTCCAGGTCTTGCACACCTCCAGCCTCTCCTCGCGCCCTGCTGCCCTGTATCCACTGCACTCCAACCACAGTGGGCACCTTTCTGCTCTTCAAACCCTCTGAGCCCTCCCCCCATGCCTGTGACTGGAGCGTGTTCCCAGCTCTGCACGGCTGGCTCTTAACCTCCGGATCCTGGCCCAGAGAGGCTCCCTGTCTCCACCTTGCTCATTTCTATCACATCTCCTCTTCCTTTCTGGAATTATGCGTGTTGACTTCGTTTCTTCCTTACTGTGCATCCGCCCCCACTGGAACATAAGCTCCGAGAAGGCAAGGGCATTGCCATCGTGCCCCGGCAGCTGGCTCCGCGGCAGCTCTAGCACCAGGAGCAGAGCCTCGTCCACAGCAGGGCTCACAAACACCCACCGGGAGAGGGGGAAATGCTGGCCTCCAGGAGAGCTGAGCAGCCACTGTGGACTCAGGGCCTCTGCTTAGCTTCCTCCACCTTCCGGCTCCCAGAAGCATCACCAGTGTTGACCTTACCATGAAGGACTTCGGCTCCACACCAAGGCCCCACTCTGTTCTGAGCTTAGCACTATGCAGGTGACATAGGTGTCAATAGGTCCAAGTAAGGGGGCATAGTCCATTTCGTGGGCAGACTCTGAATCTAGAAAATTCTTCCTCTGAAACTCACCCCCTGCTCCTGCTTCCAGCCTCTGGAATGGACAGAATAAACCCATCCCCTCCTCCATGGGTTAGTCAACAAATGTTTGTTGGGGACCCTCAGACTGGTAGGTAGGCGGGACTCACCCACCTGAAAGGACAGAAGGTGAGTGTGGAGATAAGCAGAGCCCACCAGTGAGGACAGGCGGCTTCCCAGCAGTAGAGGCGCGCTCCCTCCCCCCACCACTGTGTCGGGGGACTGGAGGCTGGCAGGGCAGTGGGAGCTTCCTGGTGAAGAATGGGGGGGGCGTGCCCTGAGGGAGGCTGTCTACAGGGCAGGGGAAGCTGCAGGCGCCTAACTGGAAGTCAGGCATCTCACGTGCTTGGTTTGCAGGCATATATGACTTTCCCTGGTTGGTCCTGAGCTGGAAACAGGACAAAAGATGGGAAGGCTGGCACTAGAGACCAAGTCCTGACCGTTGGGCAGCTTGCTGCAGAGGTTGTGGGTCAAGTTGTATCATCACGCGTGGGCTAGCTGTGGTGTGTGCACTCAGTCCCTCCCAGGCAGGAGTGGGGAATGAGCCCTGAATTGTCCAGCGCACCTTAGGGAGGTGAGGGAGGGAACTGGTGCTTCACTTCAGGGTGCTGGCCCAGAGCACAGGCCTCCACGTCCATCAGCTCCTTCAGCAAGGCCAGATCTTGCACAGACTGTGCTCAGGTAGGACCTGTGTGAGCTGGCAGCCCTCGGGCATCTGTGGGGAGAGGACCGAGAGCCAGGCGTTCTCAGCCTCGCCCTCCTTCCACGGTTGGTTGGTTGGTTGGTTGGTTGGTTGGTTGGTTGGTTGGTTGGTCAGACTCTGGCTTCCCTCTCACAGAGGCTGCGGGGGGAGGAGACCCAGCCTTCAGCGTGGGAAGACTCGCAGGACTGGCTTTCGACTCACAGTTTGAAGTTTGAGAAGCTCACCTTGGCTGACCTGATCAGCCAGGGCACAACTGTGTTGTAAGTGTAAAGCCACCCTCTCCCCAGCCCTCTGGGACACACCCAGACACTGGCCACCAGGCCAGAGCCCTTCCTAAGGCTTTGCCTCTTCAGGGAGGAGAGCAGCAGTGCTGCCAAGAACGTGCGCTTCTCAACTCCAGTCATCCTCCGGTTCGAATCACAGCTCTCTGAGTAAGTGCTTCTCAGTTCCCCCCCCAGCCCCGAGCTTAGGATTGCCTCCTGTCAGCGCCTTGAAAGCCACTCTGTTCAAATGACAATCTCTGGGACTTTGGGAGAGTCTCTTCCCACTTCTGGCTCGTTTCCTTTTTTCTCAAATAGAAAAAAAGAAAACTAGAGCTAGACCAGTTTTGGACCATCTAGTTGGACCATCTCAGTTTTTCTCGGCCTTCTAACAGTGATGCTCCCTTTGGATAAACACATAAAACTCAGCCTCCTCTGCTGTGTAATGGCTCAGTGGGACCACTTTCAGTGACCAGTGGGCTGGGTTCAGACTCCTGTAAACGTTTGTCAAAACACACAGGCTCCCAACTCCCAAAAGATTAACCAAAATGCCTATGTGTACATTCCATCCTGCTATGCAGTCTATGGCCCATGGCTGCTGTTTTCCCGAGGTTTCCTACCAAGCCATAGTAATAATTAATAGCTAACATTTGTTCATGTGTCAGCAATTCTAAGGGCTGCATGCATCATCTCAGTCCTCACAACCTGAAATATCGTATTACTCTAAAGTTAACTAAAAGTCAATTGCTAAGTGACCGATTCGCCAAATTTATCAAAACATTTTGACTGTAACTTTTATAGCAATTTTGGGGGGTTGGAAGGTTTAAATAGGTTTTAAAGAATTCTGCAATATTTTGCTTGGTTGGCTTTAATTGTGAATGGAGCATTTTAAGGAATATTCGAGTCTATTCAGTTCATAGGTCACCTGACAAATTGATTTTCAAGGGACTGGCTTTCAGTAAATTGACATTTGGGAAGTTGACTTGGATAGAGTCCCGTTATTATCTTCATGCTGGAGATGATGAAATGGGGCTGGGAGAAGTTAGCAAACCTGCCCAAGGTCACACAGCTAGTAAATGGCAAAGCTGGACCTCCAGACAGGCATGCCTCCCTGTTCACGCCCTCGGCCCCGTTCACGCTCACGGATGCCTGGAAACCAACACCACCCGCTGCCCCACGGTTTCATACCAAAGACCTTCCTTATCCTTCTCTAGGCCCCCCAATCCCACCTCACTTCAATGAGGGCAAATCAGTTAAATTCCAGTGGCCAAGTCTTTAAGTTGAGCATCTATTACGTGCTGGTCTCCAAACAGCCACTGGAATGGTTTGCTCCTTGTTTTGGGAACTAAGTGTTTTGTTCATCAGTGCACTGAGGAGGTGCTGGGTGGCCTCAGGTGTGCCTTTATGGCAGGAGTGGGGAACCTTTTTTCTGCCAAGGGCCATTTGGATATTTATATCATTGGAGGGTCATACAAAATTATCAACTTAAAAATTAGCCTGCTATATTTGGTCAGGCATTTCATTAACTCACCCCTAATGTGATGGCTGGAACTGCTGCTCTTTGGTGAGGCCTTGGCAGGGCCAGACCACATGATTCCGGGCTGGATGTCCCCCTGCTTTATGGTCAGCTCCAGGTGACTGCCAAGTCCCCCCTGAGAGAACACAGATCTGTGAAGAGCAGGAGTGTTTTTCCACCTTCCTCACGAGAACCCCTCCGCAGCCCTGCCCCCACTTGGAGCCCACTCTGGTCTCACTACACCCAGTCTCTGGTGTACACAGCATCCCCGAGCAGCTCCCACAGTGCTCCTGCCAAAGTAACGGCCTCATTTCCTCTGCTAAATCTTGCCCCACATTCTCCCCCCCCCTTGGATGCATTGAAAATGAACCCCATCCACGCTTTCCTTCCATGTGAGTGGCTGTTGCTCAGTGACAAAGCTGACCTTGGGTGACAAGTCTTCCTGGTGTTTTGACAGAGCTATTGAACTCTATCAACAGAGAATTCAGTGGCTCACAGAAAGCAGCAAAAAGGTAACACAGGTGGACTTCATGCTTTGCCCCTTTCCCTCATTCCCTCTGTATTTGTTAGACCCTTTCGGGTGCCACAGACCTCCAATTTAAATTGTCTTCAGCAAAAAAAAAATTCTTGACCTAGATGAATTGAAAATCCAGACATAGCTGTATCCAGGGCTCAAACGATGACACCTCTTTGTCTCTGGGTTCCGTTCTCCTTGGGTTGATTTTATTCTCAGGAAGGCTGTCCCAGGCTTGGGGTGATGGTCATCAGCAGCTTTAAGCTTACATGTCATCAGCTAGAGTGACGTGCTGATAGGCACCTCACCTACCTTTCTCAGTACACCCCCTCAGTTCCTAGGATTAACTCTCGCTGGGCCAGTTTAGACCAATCTCCATCGCCCAGGGATGAGATACTAACTGAGTAGGGCTGGAACTAGTGCTCATTCCTGGGGAAGCAGAGGAGCAGAAGAGAGTCGGTACCCCCTAAACCTCATGAAGTGTACTACATAAGAAGCCAGAGTGCTGTTACCAGAGAGGACACAAATCTGGGCAGGTGAGAAGACATGTCCCCTGGACCACTTAGCCACAGACCCTTAGTGAGATTTATCAGACTAAGGCTGATCATCTGCACAGAATCCTCCTGAAAGTTTGAATTTGACTCACTCTCGAATTTGTTTTAGCCTGTTTTCCTCCAGCAGATGCTTTTAGGCATTTTCTGGAGAAATTTTCATTGTCACGACTGAGAAGGGAGGTTGTCAGGGAAGCTGCTAATGTCCCACAGTGCTCAGGCCAGCTCCCTACCAAGGAGAATTATCTGGCCGACACTGTAGTGCAGAGGCTGGCAAACCCTGGTGTAGACAGAAGAGAAAGAGCACTAACCCAGTGCTTCCCAAAAGTTTTTGTGCAGCCCGACCCCTGGGGGGAGGGAGGTCTTGTTAAAATGCAGACTCTCATTAGATAAGTCTGGGTGGGACCCGAGGTGCCGCATCTCACAAGCTCCCAGGGCATGGCGGTGCTGTCAGCCCGTGGCCCACACGTGCAGGAACAAGTGCCCAGGGCGCCAAGGTCTAGTCTTCAGGATGAGGAGGGGAGTTTGGCTGGCCAAGGAGACAGGACTGGCCAGCGAGCGGAAGGAAGGGCCAGTGTGTATTAGGAGTTTCCCACTGGTTTCAAACTGTGTCCGATGCTGCTCAGAACGTTGAGAACTTAGACTTGACCGTTGGGTTTGGCAAGAGCGAGGTTGTTGGTCGCCTTGATAAATGTGGCTTTAGAGGAGTCCCCACTTGCATGGGTCACAGAAGGGGGGGCGTGAAGCACTGCTAACAAGGAAGGCAGAGAATCAAGTGGCAACAGGAGACAGGTGGGCCCGGAAGGGTTGTTCCTGTGTGGATGGCACTGTCGCTGCCTGTCCTGTGGAGAAGAGGGCTGCAGAAGCACAGTCCCAGTTTGACAGGAGAGGATCTGCTGGCGCAGCTGGAGGGTTGGCCTTAGGGCTCGGGGGTTAGCTTTAGAGCCTTGTAACAGGAAAAAGGCAAAGTGTGTGGGCACAGGGGCAGATTCTGCTGGAAAGATGAAGAGAAAAACTTCTTTAGTTTGTTTCTGTTTTCTCAGTGAAATTGGAGGCCAAGAGAATGCAGAAAGAGAACATTGGAGGTATGAGAGCATAAAATACTCACCTCTGGAGCAGGAAGGTGAACTGTCAGGGAAACTGGGTGTCCAGTGAAGCAGGACTTACAGCAAAAAGCATGAGGTGGAACTGCGACCCCCGATCCGTGCAGAAGCCACAGCACTGACGGAGAGGCAGGGGCGGTCAGAGACACATCAGCTCAGACCCGGGCAGCGGCGAGCAGAGCACGCCTGGCTCCGAGTGGCAGAGAAGAGGAAATAAGTGAGGATCTAGAGAAGCGGGATTAGATGCGCTGATGTAGTGAGATGTCAAACCTTGTCTCTTACAGAGGATGCTTTTCTACAGGCTCCAGATTTTATCCAGTGAGTGTGCATCATTTCATAAGAGTAGGCAGTAAATATCAGTGAAAAAACACATAAAGAACAGGCCACCACAGAGCAGGAGCAGCAGCCAGGACCTAGGCTTTGTTTTCCCTTTACTGCTGCTTGTTGAGGTTGGAGGGTTAGAAATTCCCTCTCGGAGCACTCAAAGGCTTTGGAGGAGCAGAGCTGGCTGGTTATCTCTGGGTGCCCTCTTTGGTTTTAGGCATTTGGCCTCATCAAGGGGTCCAGTGTCGGCATCCTCATCGATGCCTCAGCCATCAGCAGTGGCCCCAGGAAAGAAGAATTCCAGAATGACCTCCTGGTGAGTCTCTGGCACAGAGGACCCCGAACCACTCCCACCACCCCTCCCTCCCCTTTGTGTGCTGGCTCCTGGCCTGGTTTATAGCAAATGCAAAATGACTTGTTTTACTAAGCACAGTTCACACTTAATTAGCACCTACAGTTAAAGAAACCCAACCTCAGTCATTTTCCCTTGCAGTGTGAGCTTCTAGTATTCTCTCCCCACTAACTTGACTTTGTCTCAAGATTCCCTATAGGTCCTTCCTCCCCTCCCACAGCTTGTTCCCTGGACAGTACCACACAGCACACAGCACACAGCACAGGCTGCCCAGCCTGCTCTGCTTTCTCCAGCATGCGCGTAACAGAGAAGCTGGGAACTCTAGAATCAGATGACTAGAGTCAAATCTCAGCCCCCTCTACCACCTTGGGCTCTGTGACTGCATTATCTAACCTCCCTGTGCCTTAGTTACCTCATCTGTAAAATGGGGATGATAACAGTGGCCCATCACAGGGTTGCAAGAGGGAGACAGGTCCCCATGCAAGCTAAGTGCTTGGTACAAAGTCTGGCATAGAAAAGACCTCTGTGGTCTCTGTAAAGTAACATGGGGGCACTGTTTTCTTACAGGAACCCCTATAGCTTTGGATAGGGGCCTTAGCAGCAAGAGCCAATTCAGTCTTTATAGGGTTCAACATGGGGCAGTTATCCAGAGTCGTGCCCTGTTCCTGGTCTCAGTAGGTGTCAGGGAACAGTCGTGAGTGCAAGCTCGCCTTCAGGAGTCCTCAGGGCTGAGTTTCCAGAGATCCCCCAAGGGGGCTGGTCTAATGTAAGCCAACACATGCTGGTGGCATGCAGGTGAAATTTCCAGCTGGGGGAAGAAGAGGAAGGAGGTATCTTTCTCTCGGATATTCACCAGCTACAGCTTAAGAACACCAATCAAACAGGCCGGTGTTGTGCCCGTTGCTCCATCCCCAGCTCACATGCTCGGAGAGAAATGACTACCCCGTCTCTCTCCTCTCTGGGAGCTGCGGTTCAGGGCTCAAGCAGAGCGCACACTCAGATCCGTAGGCAAGGCGCACGCACACGCCACCCACACCTGACCCAGGTGTGCAGCCGCCTGGCGAGCCGCTCGGGAAGAGAGCGCAGTCTGCAGTTAGCGAGGGGAGGATGTTGCCGGTGGAAGTGAGGCCGGTTCACGGTCGCAAGGGAAGCATCCCAGGGACCCACGCACGGGAGGCTGAGGTTCAGCCGTAAGGCTTGCCGTAGACGCGAAGTCTGAGGGCTGGCCTGCGTTCAGCTTCGTCCCCTGTGCAAGGAGACGGGCCTTGTCTTCAGCAGACCCAGAGCAAAGGCAGCGTCCAGAGCTCCTGTGCGGGCCGCAGCTTAGCCCGCGCCTGTCCCCGCCCTGCCAGTGTGGCCGGTTCCCGGCTGCGTCTGGTTGGCGCTGCGGGGCTGTACCCGGGCTGCGCTTGGAGTCTGAGTTTGGAGCCCACGTGGCTGCAGGACTCCAGGCGGCTGCTAGGGCCATGCGGCTGCCACGGGGGGAGAACAC